GATGATCACAGAGCGAGAGACAAGAAAGGCGAGACTCACCAAACCATTATCTCTCCGCCCTTCAGTTAATCCCACTTGTATTTATCGGCCAGGCTGGCACAGTAAACTATCTCAATCTACCCCTTGCCAACCTGGCACCTGTACACAATTCTTTAGCCATATGTACTTATATAATTTACAGACATTGATGAAATCACACTTATACTTATCATCAATCATCTATCTTACATATAAATGAAAACACAGTCCAATTGTATCTGATATATCATACCTGAATGAAGGAAAGATATGCAATAAACACATAAAAGAAAATACATTGACAATTACAAACCTCGCTTTTGCAATTGATCACGTGGTCGTAATTGATAGGTAGAACTACCTTCTACTACTACCCATTCTGTATTACCTTTGCCCTCAGCAAGCACCTCAGCTGGCTGTGGTTTTTTGCCTGGTGGGTGACCCAGACCTTCATTCCTGAGGGGTCTGGGTCATTAGACGTCCTGTCAGGATTGGGTTGCTGTAATTTACCATTTTCTTTAATCACAGGGCATGGTAGCACAAGAGTTGGCCTATGGGATCTCCTGGATTCCAGACATATTCTTCTTTACCTCCATTATGTAACACCAGTCCAATATCTCCTTGGTAATCAGGATCAATCACACCACTCAGTACAGTGACACCCTGCCTGACCTGTTGATCCAAAGGCATGAGAAGCCCAAAGTGGCCAGGGGGCATTCTCAGCTGCCAGTTCAGTGGAATCCGTGCTGTGTTTCCAGGTGGGAGAGTTCCTTCCTTCGGGACCAGGACCTCCAGGCCTGAGGAACACAGGGTTGCTGGGACAGTCGCCATGAGTCAGCATTGACAGAGAGCTGTGACTTGGGTTGGTTTGGGGTTGGTTTCTCCTGACAGCTTGCCCGAAGTGTGGGAGACAGCCTCCCAGCCTCCTGGATTCTACGGCACATCCTGGGTCCTTCTCCCAAGAGTGAGCCGTTTGTTCCCCTGGCAGTCTACGATACCGTCCCTATCTCCCCAGCACCGTGAGTCAGGCGCCTTGCTTCATCTGCCACTTGCTCGTGTGTGGCTGTGATGGTGGAGGCTCTGTCATCCGTAGTGAACCCTATGAGGAGCAGTGGCGCCTTGTCAGGTGGAGAGAAGATTCTGGCTCACATTGTCCAAGAGCCCCCGAGTCAGGAGCCCTGTGGTACAGCGGGTAAGGCTGGGCACTCAGAGGTGCCTCTGAAGAAAAGGCTGGCAATCTACTTCTAAAAAACCAGCCATTGAGAACCCTATGGCGCACAGTTCTACTTGGGACCACATCGGGTCCCATGAATTAGAAATGACATGGTGGCGGCTGGTTTGGCTTGTATTATAAACACTGGTTTGTTTCTCCACCCCTGTTGCTGGGCTTTATCTGTCTGTGTTGCCTCTTAGAAATCTCAAACAGGGAAGCCTCTGCCCTCGGGCTATGCCGACGGTGAGAGGCTCACTAGTGGTCAGAGGAGAAGCCTGGGCACCCAGTCGACTGCCCGTCTCCCTTGATAAGCTGTTTGGCATGTAGAGTACTGAGAAGTAAGTGGCTGTCTATGGATAAAGTGGATACGGGGTAATTAGATAAATAAGCGAATTAGAAGCAAGTGTGATTTCCTTCGTCATTAAACAGCCGCCACACACAACGCTGACAGAGCAGGAGATGTATTCATCGGCGTCCTTCGCTGTGATGCCAGCTTAAAAAAAGTGTTTGAAAAAAATGTTTGCGGGCAATGAATGTACAAACGTGCTTTACACAATTGATGCACGTATGGATTGTGATAAGAGGTGTATGAACCCCTAATAAAATGATTTTTAAAAATTTAGCCAAAAAAAAAGCTGTGAGAGCCCCATTAAAATGATTCTTTAATAATAAATAAATAACCCATTTCATCATGAAAAAATTGCTAAGAGGGCTAATAAAGCATTTGTAACAATTATTTTAGGATAATAATTAATATCCATGTAATAACCCGTTTCCGGAAAATTAGGATGTGTATTTTTTTTATTCATCATTTTATTGGGGGGTTCTTACAAATCTTATAACAATCTATCAATCAATTGTATTAAGCACCCTTGTACACAATCAACATTTCTAAAACATTTTCTTTCTACTTCAGCCCTTAGTATCAGTTCCTCTTTTTCCCTCCCCCTCTCACCCTCCCACCCTTCTGAATCCTTGATCAATTATAGATTATTATTATTTCACATCTTACACTGTCTGTTGTCTCCCTTCACCCACATTTCTGTTATTTGTGCCCCCCACTGGGGGGGCTATATATCCAACCGTGTAATGGGTTCCCCCTTTCTCCCCACCCCCACCACTCCCCTACCTTCATGCTTCGCTACTCCCACTACTGTTCTTGAGGGTTTATATGTCCTGAATTCCATGTGTCGAGAGCTCTTCTCTGTACCAATGTGTGTCCTCCGGTCTAGCCGGATGTGTAAGGTAGAACTGGGTCATGGTAGTGGGGGGACGAAACATTCAGGAACTAGAGGAATGATACGTGTTTCGTCGATGCAATATTGCACCCTGGTGAGTCGTCTCTTTCTTGTAACCCTTCGGTGGGGGGATGTCCAATTGTCTACAGATGGGCTTTCAGTGACTGTGTTAGACAGGGTTCTCTAGAGAGATAAAACCAAATTGCTGATAATTTAATATATTTATTTATGGAGATAATTCGATATATAACACGAGAAATGAACTGTTAAATTATATACAGATAAATATATAATACAAGAAATGAACAGTTAAATTATAAAGCAGTACAAATGGCTCAGTGCAACTCACTCCCGTGAGAGAGAGTTGTGAGACACTAGCAGTCCTTCCAGTCTAGTCTGCCACCAGATCTTCCTCTATTTATAGAGAGAGCTAGGCTATCTCAGCACAGCAGCCAATCAGAAGGCAGGTCACCAACTGCCAGCCAGGTCACCAACGGCCAGTCCCCAGCTCCAGCGATGTCTTAAAGGGACCTCAACTTACAGCGACACAGTCCACAGGCTAGGCGTCCCACAGGTAGTGTAGCCTGTAAATTGAGGCACAGGACAAGCAAGGTAGCTGCACACTGGTCCGATGATCAAAGAGCGAGAGACAAGAAAGGCGAGACAAGAAAGGCGAGACTCACCGAGTCATTTATCTCTCCGCCCTTCAGTTAATCCCACTTGTGTTCATCGGCCAGGCTGGCACAATAAGCGATCTCAATTGGTAAAGTAGGACACCCTGCATTATGAATTCAGATGCAGAGAGGATGCATCTGTGCAGTGTTTCAGTGGACTTTTCTCTCCCCAAGTCTTCCCTTTGGGAGGACAGAGCAATAGTTGGTCTAAGCCACTCCGTGTCCTGCAAGCAGTGCTTCCTTTTGACCTTCCTGTGGATCAAGCCTCTGGTCCACACGGTCCGATGTATTCTTCTATCTTCTCACTCAGCCTCTCTACTCTACTTCCTTACCTAGCAACAGACAGGTTACCTTCGAGAATTTCTCTGATAGGCTGAATATAGCAAGGGTCTTCCCCTATTCTAAAAGATGTTTTCTTCCTCTTTATTTTCCTTTGTCTTCTAGTCTCAGCCTTCCGGGGTTACAGCACCGGAGGGAAATGGTCTTCAATGGGGGGCTAGCTCTGGGAGTCCACATCATGATAAGCCTTCTGAGCCCTCAAGAGACAGGGGGCATCCAGGGTGAGTGCTGAGGGTGACTGGGTTGATCGAGGAGATGGGAGAGGGGGAAGGGTTTGGGGGAGTTGGGGGGGGGTTGGGCCACTCACACAAAGGAGGTAGCTTAGAGGATTCATGGTTCCTCTTCCTCGCTCTGGGTTATGAACAGCTCTATCACGTCCGTTCTGGGCTTAGCACAGTCCAGTCACACAGTAGCATCAATTTCACGCTGTGTTCAAGTTCCGTTTCCAGCCCATTGCTTCCTCCTGTCTGAGACCCATAGCTCCATCGCGACCACTTCTCGGCTTAAAGCATGACCGTCCAAGTTCAGCGGACGGCAGGGTCTGTCACCGTGTCCAGAGTCAACTGGGCATGCGTCTTTATCCTACTCTAGATGTGAGTTCCTTGTGAACAAGCCACAGCGTGCTCAACGTTTGGACCTGACCCAGTGCTGGGGGCCCAGAAGCCCCTAAATGGGTGGAACAAACAACCTCAGAGCAAGCCAAAGAACTCTGACCTGTTAAAACCTAACCCCCCAATTTCCCGAAAACCAAGTTTCAGTTCTGGGGAGAAACATGTTCGGTCATAATGTTCTGAGATGCAAGAATTGGACCAGGAGGCCTGAGCTGCTGACTCCCGCGCCAGAGTTCTTTACAGGACCTTCGGCTGCCCTTTTTTCTAGACCTCCGTCTCTGTGGGAAAGACCTAAACTATTGCCTCTGCTAATCATTGCCCATTTCTCTTCACGCCCACCTCTACAGCGTTTCGGACCCAAAGCTTCATGTACACGCCTGTCCTTAATCGCGTTCTCTTCTTTCCACGTCCACAGCCACCATCTCACACAGAAGACCCAATACCAGAGCAGGAGCAGGAGTTAATTTGGGGGACCACCCCAAGCGTAGCTTTGGACTGCACACACTTTGAACACGATGTCAGGAGAGACCAGTCCCCGAAGACGGGCATCTTGCTCGGTCGAGGGGCAGTGCAGAAGATGGATTGACAGCAGGGTGCACCAATGGGCTTGGGCATGGGCACAATGGTGAGGACGGCACGCGACCACCAGGAGGCGTTTTGTTCTGTTGTGCATAAGGTCGCGATGGTCCGGAACCTGACAACAAGTGTAGTTAAGGCACGCTCTCTTCTTCCACCCCCTGGTCGACCAGACTAGCCCTGTGTCTCCGTGGGGTCTGCAAGGTGTCGGGCATGTGCCTGCCTCTCTCCTTCCCTCGCTCTTCCATCTCCCCGCAGCCCTGCTCGGCAGGGTGGGGTGGGGTGGCAGGCTCAGACACTCACATGTCTTGCCACCTAAGGATGATTTCTGTGATGCAGTTTCTTCTCTCTTGCTAACGCTAAACTCTCCGAAACAGCTGACCACATGGGCTCCTATGGACCCGCCTTCTACCAGTCTCACGGCGCCTCCGGCCAGTTCGTCAATGAATTTGACGGGGAACAACTCTTCTCTGTGGACCTAAGGACAAAGGAGGCTGCATGGCGTCTGCCGGAGTTCAGCAACTTTGCCTACTTTGACCCGCAGCGGGGGCTGGCCAGCATTGCTATGATCAAAATCCATCTGGACGTCTTGGTGCAGCGCTCCAATCGCACGAGAGCCACTAACGGTATTGGGTGTTCGGTCCCTCTTCTGCCCATCCCGCGAGGCAGCAGTGGTCCAGCGGGCCCTGCGTGCCACCTCAGAGCCTCCATTCTGCTCTCTCGGGACCTATGACCACTGCCCTCAGCCCCTTTCTTTCCCAGGCCCCTCTTCCTTCCTTCCTTTCCCTTCCTGCCCCTGCAATGGGCACTCTGTCCCCAGAACATGCCCTGCCTACCCATGGCCAAATGAGAGGAACACCCCTCAAGCCCAGCCTAGTGAGGCCCAGGGTGCGAGGGGTGAGCCTTTGGGATTCAGAGCCCTATTCTTCCTAGTGCCCCCAAAGGTGACGGTGTTCCCCAAGTATCCGGTGGCGCTGGGCCAGCCCAACATTCTCATCTGCGCCGTGGACAACATCTTCCCTCCTGTGATCAACGTCACTTGGCTGCACAATGGTCAGACCGTCACCGAGGGAGTCTCCCAGACCAGCTTCTACTCCCAGCCGGACCATTCCTTCCGCAAGTTCCTCTACTTGCTCTTCCTGCCGGCTGCCGACGACGTCTACGACTGCAGGGTGGAGCACTGGGGCCTGGACGGGCCTCTCCTCAAGCACTGGGGTACCGAGTGGCCTTCTCCCCAGCCCACCCTCCTCAGACTGCGGCTCTCTTTTCTCGAGAATCCTGCTCTCATATCTTGACCCTTTCTCTCTCTCCCAGAGCCCTCTATGCCTACCCATCTACCAGACACCACAGGGACCCTGGTCTGCGCCTTGGGCCTGGCCGTTGGGCTGATGGGCTTCCTCTTGGGCACCGTCCTCATCATCCACAGCACCTGCTGCTCCAGTGTTCTCAGGTGCACAGGGCCCCCGAAGTCCCATGAAAGGAAGGGGAGGGATCGAGCAGGATGAAGGTGGAGAATCAGATTCTGTGAGGTGGAAAGAAGCCAGGAAGGGGCATGTAGACAAGTACTAGCTGTTTTGCTGTTGGGTCAAGGCTGACCCATAGTTACAGAGTACAACTAACCCATGTGCTACAGCGTACAACTGACCCGTGGTTACAGAGTACAACTGACCCGTGGTTACAGAATACAACTGACCCGTGGTTACAGCGTACAACTGACCCATGGTTAAGGAGTATAACTGACCCGTGGTTACAGAGTACAACTGACCCATG